CCCGCGCATCAGCCTAGTCAGCTCGAACATCATTGCAAACTGGTGTAAAGTGTTCAAATGTATCGAATGTCATCTCATGTTCTTGCTGAGTTTCTTGTTTTCATTCATCCTTTAGAAGCCATGCTTGAGCTGCGGCTCATTTTTCTTGGGTGACATCGGTGGTGCTTAGGGTTCTCTTGTGGTGCGTGTGTTCTCTCACATCTGGGCCCCGTGCACTCCATATTTCACCAATCCAATCACGAGGGATCAGCGCCATCATGTCCTGCAATTCAAGGGTAGAGGGATCGCATGGAGGTGTTTCTGAACAAATATCCAGCCTCTGAACTATAGTTTGTCTTGAATATGTTATTGACTATGGAGCTGGATCTGATTTTATTGTTTTCAGCTTTCGAGCGATCCACGCTGCACCAGTTGGAAATGCCAACTGGTTTTCGGGGATTAGAGATTGGCTGTGAGACGGTTGGCCATACTTGTATCGAGTCATTCTGGCAAAGGGTTAAAAAGTCTCTTGCGGTACGAAGATTTGACATATAAGAGTGCTTACCACCGTCTGAACCCGGTGCGCCCACAGGTACTTCCAGCTCCGTGTCCTGCAAGCCAACCAAGAAAGGCCATTGCGATCGCTCTACTTAATTGTGGGTTGTGCATTGTTTTCGAATATGCGTGGGGTGAATATATCAATCCTCGTGCAAAAGGGGTGTGGTCAAACACAATGGTCGGAACATGTTGGAACCTGGGCCTGAAGTCTCTCATTCTGTCAGCAGTCCAGCTATGCGTTTTTCAACAAATTCCATCGCAAGTGATGGTTTGATACTGAAAAACTCTCGGATTTCCGCAGGTGTGACCAGCAAGACTGGCCCCATTGGCAAGGAGCTCGCACGCGCAGTTGGGAAAGGAGCCCCTTGCTCTATACCCATAACAAGTTTTGTTGCGCGTGCGTTTGACAACTGATTTACGACCCTTCTTGCACTATAGTTTGAACAAAAGACAAAAGCCCTTGTGAACCAAAACACACAACGCATGTGAAACTATAGCAGCACAAATGTATTGCGCTGGCCCTCGCTCTTGATGCCACGCGAGGTATCCGAAGTTCAAGCTTGTCTCATTGCTAAAGCAATTGCGGAGGAACTGCCAGCTGATGGCCCTAATTTGGAATCTCAATGTTTGATAGATGGAATGACTCGACTTAGCACTACTGGTCATGAGCCAAGGTTGTTCAGGCTTTTTCAGCAATCAGGCTTGGTTGCTGATATCCCGGATACATACGTTGAGCTTTCTCCTGGCTTTCACCATCCAACAGTTTCCTTTCGGGATACTGTGCAGTGCTTGTCGGATTGTGGCAAGATGGACCTCTTGTTGGGCAATTACACGCAAGAAAGCTTTTTGTCTTTCTGGGACCGTTTTGGAATGCTGGAGCCCGCGCACCCAGTGTTTACAGTGCATGCCGGTCATCTTGGTCGTGTCATTCCACTTCTTTGCCACTGTGATGAAGGAACATCGCAAAAGAAGCGGTCTCTTATGATACTCCAAACACAGCCATTTCTCGGGCGTGGTACCTCCTTCGGAGCTGCTGGGGTGAACTTTGTGGGAAACAGCTTGACGACAAGATTTTTGTACTCAGTTCTTCGAGGGAAAGCTTACAGTGGGAAGAATTCAGAACGCTTACATCGGCTGATCCATTTCATGGCCTGTGATCTGAGAAGCTTGTTTGAAGATGCTATCGCAGTTCAGGCATGGGGTGAGAATGTTGAATTATTTTTCTGCTTGCTGGGTTTGAAGGGCGATTGGGTTGGGCTAGCCAAAATTGGCCGGCTGAACAGGCACCACCTCAGAGACACACATGATGGTGATGGCGTGGGAGTCTGTCACTTGTGCAATGCTGGAAAGCTCGGCCATGAATGGCATAGGTGGACAACAAAAGCAATGGATTCCATGATCGCTGGCGCAGACCTCCCGTGGTCAACCCCAAGTGCTTTCACAACTGAGATACCTCAAGCGGATGATTGCAAAGCCAACTTTTTCAAGATTGATATCTTCCATACGATGCACAAAGGAATAGTTGGAGATCTTGTAGCCAACGCTATTGTCACTTGCAAGCCAAGCCTGGAATTGCTGTTTGTTTCTTAATGTCTGATGTTTTCGTCAGTTTCCTGCTACTGTTCTTGTTTTGTGCGACGTGGCTTCTACACTTTAGGTGACCCTCTGTGATTTGAATATTGATGGATTGAATCCAACATCTGGACTGGACAAGATCTACAAGGAGGCTTCGGACTTTGCGCGAAAGAATTCCCTCAACCTCCACTTGCTTCAGTTGACCCGAACTACTCTGAGATTTACAAACAGCTGGAGCTTTCCGGGTGAGTAGCTGGGTTTTGTAGAGGCAACGTGTTTGTTTTTGAGCGGCGTGTATTTATGCTTCTTTAGGCATGTGTGTCTAGGCCCCTTGTTTTTGAGACACCGTGTTTTTCGCAGAAAGCAATGTGTGAGGAATTGGTTCAAGGGAGCGGACACTACAGTTTTGTCCAAATTTTTGGAAGCGAAGTATGATGCGGTACTTGTAGCCAACAGTGGGCACGAGCACGCGTCCTATTTGAGGTTGATCGCTCAGGCTCTGAAGGCTTCCAACCAATTCTTTCACACGGTCTACCGTGCGGGTTTTTGGCTCAGCGATGTTCAAAGGCAGAATTTGATTGATGCTTCGACAGATATCCTGAAAAGCTTTGATGGCGCTGCCAAGTATGCATGGGATGTCCTTTGGCTCCCGAGATTCAAATACCAGCCAAAGCTGCACATGTTTGCCCATGTGAGGCATAGCCTTATCAAAGAGGCTGCGAAGAAAGCCAGATCAGTTTCACCTCTTGCATTTTCGACACAAATAGACGAAGACTTTGTGGGTCGAGTCTGTGTGTTGTCCAGGCAGGTTCATGGTAGAACTCTCCACTCAAAAACGTTGGAGCGTTACAAGATTGGATTGGCAGGCGCATGATGAGAAAAAGAACATTCCGGCACTGCAATGGTGCCTTGGGAATCTAAAACCCATGTGTTTCATCCCTCTCTCTCTCTCTCTTTCTCTCTTGGCGTGCCATCGCAAAGATCCAGGCTGTGGGGCGCGGTCGCCGTCTTGTTTTTTTTGCTGGTTTTCAGGGAAGGTCTGGGCGCGGGGCAGGGTTGTGAGTCAAACTCAAAAACCTCGGAAACCCAATAATGGTAACTTTTGTCAGTTCCCACTTTTTCTTTGCGACTTGGTTCTCTAGGTAATCAATATTCTTGAAAAAATCAGCAATTTCTATTGATTTGGGCGCGTGCTTTTTCAATAGAAATTCTTCCTCAAAGCCAAGCAAAAA